CAGTGAGTAGAGCACAGTAGAGTACAGTGAGTAGAGCACAGTAGAGTAGAGCACAGTAGAGCACATTACAGTGAGTAGAGCACAGTAGAGTACAGTAGAGCACAGTGAGTAGAGCACAGTGAGTAGAGCACAGTAAGTAGAGCACAGTAGAGCACAGTACAGTGAGTAGAGCACAGTAGAGTACAGTGAGTAGAGCACAGTAGGTAGATCACAGTACAGTGAGTAGAGCAGTGTACAGTGAGCAGAGTAGAGTACAGTAGAGCAGAGAACAGTACAGTGAGTAGAGCGAAGTAGAGCACAGTACAGTGAGTAGAGCATAGTAGAGTACAGTAGAGCAGAGAACAGTGAGTAGAGCACAGTACAGTGAGTAGAGTGAAGTAGAGTACAGTGAGTAGAGCACAGTACAGTACTGTACAGTGAGTAGAGCACAGTAAAGTACAGTGAGTAGAGCACAGTACAGTACAGTGAGTAGAGCACAGTAGAGCACAGTAGAGTACAGTGAGTAGAGCACAGTAAGTAACAGTGAGTAGAGCACAGTAAGGCAGTAGTACAGATTACAGCTGAGTAACTACCAGTGTACGTGAGTAAGCGACTAGTACTCACCTGTGTAAGCATGAAACCATGTATGTACTCTACCCTGCTGTACTGACTGTAACTCTCGTAGTGTACTCTACTTACCTGCTGTAGTAACTTGCTGTACTGTAGCTACGTACATCTATCTACTGTACTGTACTCCCTGTGTACTGTACTTACTCTACCCTGCTGTACTGTACAGCTGTACTGTACTACCTCGTTGTACTGTACTCTACCTGCGTAGTACTGTACTTGTACTACTGCTGTACTTACTCTACTGCTGTACTGTTTACTCTACTCTTGTACTCTACTCTACCCTGCTGTACTGATACTCTACTTCTGTACTGTACTTACTCTACCCTGACTGTACTCTTACTCTACTCTACTCTGCTGTGTACTGTACTCCTACTTGTACGTACTCTGCGTACTGTACACCGCGCTGTCTGTATCGTACTGTACTCTACTCTACTTTCTTACTCTACCCTGCTGTACTGTACTCTCTTGTCCCTGTGTACTGTACTCTACCCTTCCTGACTCTACCGTTACGCTGTACTGTACTACTACTCTACTGTAATACCCTCTGTACTTACCACTCTGTACTGTACTGTACTCTACCCTGCTGTACTGTACTCTACTCTACTCTACCCTGCTGTACTCTACCCTGCTGTACTGTACTCTACTCTACTCTACTGTACTCTACCCTGCTGTACTGTACTCTACCCTGCTGTACTCTACTCTACCCTGCTGTACTCTACCCTGCTGTACTGTACTCTACTCTACTGTACTCTACTCTACCCTGCTGTACTGTACTCTACTCTACTCTACCCTGCTGTACTCTACCCTGCTGTACTGTACTCTACTCTGCTGTACTGTACTCTACTCTGCTGTACTGTACTCTACTCTGCTGTACTGTACTGTACTGCGTTGTAATGTCCAAACTTGTGAAACATGAGAAGAATGACATTCATATCCACAATCATGCATTTATGTGTAGTACAGATCAGGGACCCATGATGCAATTATGTTACCGTAATTCCATTACCGGATGTAAATCCACTTCACTTACTGTAGTTCAATAACCATAAGAGATTTTTTCAAACTCAAGTTGCCATGTCATAGCTGACATCTTTCAATCTTCATTTGGAGCAGATGTTTAACAGTTTTTGGAAAACGTGGTTGCATGATTATAATGTAATTTCGTTACCAATGTTTGAATCTGCACAGTTCTTCCACTAAATTTATTTGTGAAAATGTTTCTGTGAAAATTGTTAAAAGTAGTCCTTGTGCATAGAGTTGTATGGTTTGTTAAACTTTGAAATCAATGGTTTTTGTTTGGCATACATTTTAAAGTGAAAAAAAAAACTGAGTCAAAGCGTAAAACCCCTTGTCATTCACTCCTGTAAAGCCTACAGGACTGATATCTAGCTGCCCCAAAAATGCTACTTATGTCAGGAATCTGTAGCACATTACATAATTACAGCTCTAGAACACAGTGAATACAGGTTGGAGGGTCTATGTACATTCTGTTTGATTAAAGCCTCTTCATCAGAATTTAGAATGCATTATCCTGTATTGTATACAACTTAAATGCTACAAATGTTTTTTTTAGCATATGATGATTTGGATGCATGAAAATAATGACATAGCTGGGAGAGGAAATGTACAGAATGTGCAAATAGCTGGCACTAACACATCAACTGTGGATGGATCCCCATGCCAGAAAGGACTAAGTGCACTACTTTTGACTAAATAGGGAATAGGGTGCCATTTGGAACGAATTATTACTTTTATCCTATCCCAGGTATTCCTTAAAGAGGTAGGGTTTCAAGTGTCTCCGGAAGGTGGTCAGTGACTCCGCTGTCCTGGTGCCGTGAGGGAGCTTGTTCCACCATTTGGGTGCCAGGGCAGCGAACAGTTTTGACTGGGCTGAGCGGGAACTGTGCTTCCGCAGAGGTAGGGGGACCAGCAGGCCAGAGGTGGAAGAACGCAATGCCCTCGTTTGGGTGTAGGGACTGATCAGAGCCTGAAGGTTACATTTTACATTTAACATTTGAGTAGAGATTAGCATGATCAATTATGTTAGCTCAACAGCCTATACACAACACTGCATGGCATGGTTGGCACTGCCACCTAACCTAAGCCCTGGCTAGCTGCATCTCCTGAGTTCAACTCTAAACCCCACACATCACCATGGAGACGGGACCTCCATTGTGGGACAGTTGGGCTCCACTTGAGAGGTCCTGGCACGTCCACATGAGTAACAGCTTTGTCTCCATCCCAAATGGCACCCTATTTCCTATACAGTGCACTGCTTTTGACCAGAGCCCTATGGGCCCTGGTCAAATGTAGTGCACTACATAGGGAATAGGGTGCCATTTGGGATGTATTTCAGTGTCCCAACAGACAGGGGAGAGTGAGGGGGTCATTCATTCCACTGAGGAGGATTGTTGAGAGCCACAAACCAGCTCTCTGGAAGTTTCAGTTTGCAAACTAGTTCAAGTTCTGTTATAGCAAATGTAACAACAATGTAGGCCTACTTTACAGACTACTATCCTATTCTCAAACTTTGCACACTAGTTTAGTCAGAAATCTGAATGTTTTCACATTGCCACGCGCAAGCGCAACAATGTAACGTTAACAAATGAATACTCGGCAGTGAGATTGATATAGACTGTTCCATGCTTGACTACATCCTTATACTAGGAGCGGCCTATGTCACTTTACCTCGGAACAGGTGAACCAACGATTGCGGCAGACTCGCGGAATGTTTCAGGTTTCTCCAAAAAACGATGTTCCTTCCCTGTGACGTTGTCAAACAACCAACTCTATTTAATGTAATATGCATTCGCCAAATGTTCATATTTTTTACGGCGGTATAATTCTCGTCAACGTCACCGGTGCTCTGGCAACAGGTAGCAGCTGGAAGCAACTACAGCCAGCCGTTTGGGAGTGGTTTGTTGGTAGCCAAAGTTTCTGATTAACTCTTTCCTTTCTGGTTAGAGTAGGTATGTATTCGAACCAGCCGAACTAACCGGTTTCTAACCTGTTCTGTGGTTGCCCCACCAACTATTCCCTATTCCCAACCCACATTCACGAAAGTTAAAAGAGGAAAGAAAAGGTAGAATGAAGATTCCCGGAAATCTCAGATAATCAAATGTTCCAATCAAATTGCATAAGTCCATACACCTAACAGTGTTTGGGTCCTGCATATCGTATTCCAGACAGTTGTACCGACCGGACCGGATAGAGCACTTGAATCAGCTGGTCCGGACCGTACAGTTGTATTCTAGGGGCAGTGGCACTCCTTACCCCATTGGACTGGCATACAAAAACAAAGGGGCGTGTGTAGATGAGCTGCCATAGAATAACAAATGGAGTCTACTATAGCAAATATCTGCTATGCTATGCAAGGAATCTTTCCATACATTAGCAGGGATTTGACCATCTCATGGATGTCTTGTACAGACATGTACAAGTTAACAGCACAACTTTCAATCAAACTCACTGCAGTCTGTTAACCATAAACTCACCATGTATATTTAATGCAGATCACAAGGCTCACTTACTGAAAGCATCTTTTGACTCATGTTTTTGGATCCCAGATGGTATAACTATTTCCCTGAATGTAATACAGTTTGTGATTCATGCGCTGAGTCCTGTTGACTACATGACCTTTTGGGAATTCTGACAGAATAAGTCATATGCCTAGTTCTCATCTGTGTTTGTGATTCGTTGTCCACGTCCCAAATGGCACCCTATTCAGTGGTACTCAACTCTTACCCTATGAGGCTTTTATGTTCTACCTGATAACTAATTGCACACACCTGGTGTCCACGGTCTAAATCAGTCCCTGATTAGAGAGGAACTATGAAAAAATGTAGTGGCACTGTCTTCGAGGTCCAGAGTTGAGTTTGAGGGCCCTATACAGGGCACTACTTTTAACTATGGCCTCTGGTCAAAAGTAATGCCCTATATAAGGAATAGGGTGCCGTTTGGGACGCCAACATTGAGTATAGTAATAATTCCTCTGTGAATCATGGATAAAATCTCTCATTTTCTTAAGATAAACACAACAGGGTAACTACAATGAACGAACCAAATAGTGAACATAGTGATTCCCAACCTCAGTAATCATTACCTCAAAAAGCAGAGAAAATAAAGCATTGACAGAGCATTGCAACGCTTGATTACGTCTGCGCTTATCCATCAGACCTTGAATGCTTGTCTGGGTGCCAGTTCTACCATGACTGAACAGCACCCTCTGGTGTCAGAAGTTAGTAATACCAGTTATTATCACTGACGTTCCCATGCAACTCACATGCTTTACAAATGGCTTCATGTCAATCATTATAAAGTCAAATAAAATACTTGCAAATTATAAATGTATGTAGGATGTTATGCATGTCTACAGTGAAACTTAATCTTACCTGAGCTGTAGGAGGAGGGGCTGTAACATCAATCAGACCAGAAGTTTGATCCAGGCTCTGCTGTTGTTCTGCTGGTGTTTCAGTTGAACCCAAAGATCCAGCCAGTTCTGTTCCCACTAAGTCTGTCAACTCTGAGTGCTGGGTATCTGACATAGTCTCATATATATCTGAGTCATGAGATAAATGAGATTGCCCACTAGGATCCTCTGGCAGTGTTTTCATCATCCGGCCGTCTGAGTTCTGCTGTTCAACTGGATCCTTGATAAGCGAAGGAGGGCCTGACTGCAACTGGGGAAGTCCACTTGTGGGCTCGGGTGGGACAAGGAGTTTTAGAGAACGGTGCTGCAGCATATCTCCAAGACCTGGAGCGTCTGAGGCTGAGGTGAATGAGAAACCTGGAGCTAAACTTCGCCTCTTCAGATCACGTGGCGGGAAATCTGTAGTCTCGTTATTGGAGGTCTGCAGTCCCACCATTGTCTTCATGCGCTCATACTGCTTGATATCATCAATGTCTTGTGAGACCCCGAACGTGGACATCCTGTGAGTGGTGGCTCTCGCAGAGTGATCCGTGGACGCGCGGACCTTCGTCACAGCGCCTGACCTTTGACCTTTGTTAGACATGTTCGGTGGCTCTCTGTCAGTCGTTGCCTGCAAGGATGTGCAACTCTGAGTCCCAGAACTGGTGAGGTCCAGTGGTCCCTGGGTCTCTACAGAGAGCTCCCTCACATACTTGGCAGGGATATAGAAGGGTTTGGTCCCCTGGTCCTTCCGGACGTGCCACCAGTAGTCGTTGGTCCTGGAGACCAGCATGTACCTGTGAACATTAGAGGTCCAGAGAGGTAATGTGAACACTGTGTTTGGGCTGAGCAATGACGCGTGTACTGTTCATGTATTGTTAAGTTCTATCATCTATATCATGTTGTTTGATCTGTTCCTTTGTAATTTTACTTTTTTAACTATGAGCTAAAGACTCATTTTCATTTTGTGAAATATATTCTGGACAATAAATATTTTCAATTCAATTACCTCTCGTTGGGCTTGATGGAGACCAGAGCCCCGTCCTTGGCTGTGTAATCATACTCAAACTCCACCTGCACCATCTCCATGTTACTGTAGTTAGGTCTACAGTTACTGTAGTTAGGTCTACAGTAACTGTAGTTAGGTCTAGTTAGCCGCTCTGCTGGCTGGGGCCTCCGTGTTGAAGTGCAGACAGTCACGTTTCAAAAGAGTTCATCTTGGAGATGGAAACAGTCAAAACAGTACATTTAAAATGGGCATATCTGACTTGCTGTGTCTCAAATGGCACCCTATTCCCTTTCTAGTGCACTACTTTTGACCAGGGCCCATAGGGAATAGGGTGCCATTTGGGACATACACGCATTACAAACATGATGAAAACAAATTTAGATCCAGTAAACTGAGATAGCACTCTGCTACACCGGCCATACAGTAGTAGACACTTGGAAACCTCAACATTGTGGGAGTCATTGAATGACATACATGTATTTTAATAGGATCTCTGAGGTGGGAGTACTCAGTTACTAATGTCATAGTTGTCCTCTATCAACATGATGCACTTCTGCCTAACAGATTAACCTCATAAAGAATGCAGACTGACCAGTATGGCTGTTTCTGTTTCATGATTTTAACCTGAACAATGGGCAGGCAGACATCAGTAAAGGTTGTCTCCCATCGATGTGCATAACAATACTGCTACAGGAAGTTGCTGCCAGCAGTCACTGCCGTTCAGAATGCCCTAACCCCAAACTTAAAGAGCACTATAGACTCACGTGCTCAAACAGAGCCCACAGAACAGGAAGCCTGTAGCACAGCACCACCCTGGGTTGACGATGCTCAACTCACTCCATCGTCAAGCTGCAACCTCAGTTTCTCAAATAAGGCCTCCAGAGACACGGGGAGAACTTCAGAAAACACAGGACTCAATTCCTTCTTCTAATTTCAGTAGTGACATTGACAACCAGGACCAATTACTGGTCAGAAGTCAAAGTCCAAGGCTATTCCATTTTACATTTACATTTTAGTCATTTAGCAGACGCTCTTATCCAGAGCGACTTACAGTTAGGACACGATATATATTTTTTTATACTGGCCCCCGTGGGAATCGAACCCACAACCTGGCGTTGCAAACGCCATGCTCATCAATGAGGTACATCCCTGCCGGCCATTCACTCCCCTACCCTGGACGACGCTGGCCAATTGTGCGCCGCCCATGAGTCTCCCGGTCGCGCCGGCTGCGACAGAGCCTGCAACCAGAACAGGAAGCCTGCCTAGCACAGCAAACCCTGGGTTGACGATGCTCAAATTCCCTCTCCATCGCCCTCAAGCTGCAACCTCAGTTTCTCATATAGGCCTCAGAGACACGGGGAGAACTGCAGAAACACAGACTCAATTCTTCTTCTAATTTCAGTATTTGTGAGAGGGAACTTGACAACCAGGACCAATTAACTTGTCAGAAGTCAAATCCAGCTATCCCTACCTTACTAACCCATTCAAAATGAGTGAGACGCATTTATCTATGTACATGACTCGAGTTTATTGTTTATCAACTGACATAATACTTAGATCAAGTGTTCTAGTAAGAGTGCATTTTAAATATTTTATTTGAGGAAGGGTAACTTTTTTGAAAAGTTTTGAACTTGATATAGCCTACAGTAACAATCCAACCCTACGTTATAAGGAGTCAAATAGTGTATGTAAAGCAGAAGTTAAACATCATTTAATCTATACTAATGGGGGACTCGCAGGAGTTAAACATTATTTAATCCCCACTAAGGGGGTCTAGCAGAAGTTAAACATGATTTAATCCCCACTAAAGGGGACTAGCAGGAGTTAAACATGATTTAATCCCCACTAAAGGGGACTAGCAGAAGTTAAACATGATTTAATCCCCACTAAAGGGGACTAGCAGAAGTTAAACATGATTTAATCCCCACTAAAGGGGACTAGTAGAAGTTAAACATGATTTAATCCCCACTAAAGGGGACTAGCAGAAGTTAAACATGATTTAATCCCCACTAAAGGGGACTAGTAGAAGTTAAACATGATTTAATCCCCACTAAAGGGGGACTAGCAGAAGTTAAACATGATTTAATCCCCACTAAAGGGGACTAGCAGAAGTTAAACATGATTTAATCCCCACTAAAGGGGACTAGCAGAAGTTAAACATGATTTAATCCCCACTAAAGGGGACTAGCAGAAGTTAAACATGATTTAATCCCCACTAAAGGGGCAGAGTTAACTGATTAATCCCCCACTAACGGGACCAGCAGAAGTTAAACATGATTTAATCCCCACTAAAGGGGACTAGTAGAAGTTAAACATGATTTAATCCCCACTAAAGGGGACTAGCAGAAGTTAAACATGATTTAATCCCCACTAAAGGGGACTAGCAGAAGTTAAACATGATTTAATCCACACTATTTTTTTAAATTTTTTAAATTTCACCTTTATTTAACCAGGTAAGCCAGTTGAGAACAAGTTCTCATTTACAACTGCGACCTGGCCAAGATAAAGCAAAGCAGTGCGATAAAAACAACACAGAGTTACATATGGGGTAAAAAAACATAAAGTCAAAAATACAACAGAAAATATATATACAGTGGTGCAAATGTAGCAAGTTATGGAGGTAAAGCAATAAATAGGCTATAGTGCAAAATAATTACAATAGTATTAACACTGGAATGCTAGATGTGCAAGAGATTATGTGCAAATAGAGATACTGGGGTGCAAAAGAGCAAAATAAATAACAATATAGGGATGAGGTAGTTGGGTGGGCTAATTTCAGATGGGCTGTGTACAGGTGCAGTGATCGGTAAGGTGCTCTGACAACTGATGCTTAAAGTTAGTGAGGGAGATAAGAGTCTCCAGCTTCAGAGATTTTTGCAATTCGTTCCAGTCATTGGCAGCAGAGAACTGGAAGGAATGGCGGCCAAAGGAGGTGTTGGCTTTGGGAATGACCAGTGAGATATACCTGCTGGAGCGCAGACTACGGGTGGGTGCTGCTATGGTGACCAATGAGCTAAGAAGGCGGGGATTTGCCTAGCAGTGATTTATAGATGGCCTGGAGCCAGTGGGTTTGACGACGAACATGTAGTGAGGACCAGCCAACAAGAGCGTACAGGTCACAGTGGTGGGTAGTGTATGGGGCTTTGGAGACAAAACGGATGGCACTGTGATAGACTACATCCAGTTTGCTGAGTAGAGTGTTGGAGGCTATTTTGTAAATGACATCGCCGAAGTCAAGGATCGGTAGGATAGTCAGTTTTACGAGGGCATGTTTGGCAGCATGAGTGAAGGAGGCTTTGTTGCGAAATAGGAAGCCGATTCTAGATTTAACTTTGGATTGGAGATTCTTAATGTGAGTCTGGAAGGAGAGTTTACAGTCTAACCAGACACCTAGGTATTTGTAGTTGTCCACATACTCTAGGTCAGACCCGTCGAGAGTGGTGATTCTAGTTGGGTGGGCGGGTGCCAGCAGCGTTCGATTGAAAAGCATGCATTTAGTTTTACTAGTGTTTAAGAGCAGTTGGAAGCTACTGAAGGAGTGTTGTATGGCATTGAAGCTCGTTTGGAGGTTTGTTAACACAGTGTCCAATGAAGGGCCAGATGTATACAAAATGGTGTCGTCTGCGTAGAGGTGGATCTGAGAGTCACCAGCAGCAAGAGCGACATCATTGATATACACGGAGAAAAGTGTCGGCCCAAGAATTGAACCCTGTGGCACCCCCATAGAGACTGCCATAGGTCCAGACAACAGGCCCTCCGATTTGACACACTGAACTCTATCTGAGAAGTAGTTGGTGAACCAGGCGAGGCAGTCATTTGAGAAACCAAGGCTATTTAGTCAAAACATGATTTAATCCCCACTAAAGGGGACTAGCAGAAGTTAAACATGATTTAATCCACACTAAAGGGGACTAGCAGAAGTTAAACATGATTTAATCCACACTAAAGGGGGTCTAGCAGAAGTTAAACATGATTTAATCCACACTAAAGGGGGTCTAGCAGAAATTAAACATGATTTAATCCCCACTAATGGGGACTAGCAGAAGTGTTTTTCAAAGAGAATCCCATGTTACAATAATAATGCACACTAACAGTACATCAAACTTTTACAATAAAACCAATGTAATTCAAGGCTTGACAATACAGTAGGTATTCATACCTGGAGGTGGGCATACAGCCAGAAGACTTGTACCAACTCTGTCCTCTTCTCTCTGAATGTTCAGTTGCTCGCAGACGTTAGAGTGAGTTTAATAAATATACCATTTGCATTAATTCCCATCATATTAAACCTGGTAAATCTTTCTCTTTCAGCATCTATTTTCCATCACATTACAGTTCACTTGTTTAATAATGTTTTGAGCTCCTGTAGTGTCGGTTATAAAGCCTAGTAGTCTACCACGGCGCTCTGTGTGTGCGCGCACAGGTTTTGACTTGCCTAACTGCCTCTGTATCATTTCCTGTTCTACTGACTGTGTATAGGAACAACACTGAGAGCATGGAGACTGGGGGACAGGGACACACACAAAGAGAGCTATGAAAAATGGGATTGACTCAATATATAGTTATATTCAGTCCCTCATGAAACATCATCTGGTTTCCTAGGAGTCTGTGACCAAACGGACCATTACTGGGGGGAATATTCTCTGGTTATAGGCTAACAGCCCTGTGAAATTGATCAATTACAAACAAATATATGTGCGTCTCCTATGGGCCCTGGTCAAAAGTAATGCACTGTATAGGGAATAAGGTGCTGTTTGGGACACAGTAATTGTCAATAAGTGTTGTCAATAAATACCCTCTAACCTACATGCCAGTGAGGGTTTCTGCTGGTTTAGCATTACATGGCAGTTGACCAAAAAGGGGAAGCAAACACTGGTATCAAGATTATTTCCAATCTTGGTTTTGTTAGGAAACACATCCTTTTAGCCTCATAACATTTTCCTCTGCTCTCTAAAGTAAAGCAAGTCATTCAAGTGTACAGTAAACCCATGCCTCACCCATTCTCTATAACAGTGTTTCCCAACAGCACACGTTGTTGTTGTAGCCCCAGACTAGCACACCTGATTCAACTTGTCAAATA